AGAAGTGTCGCAGATGAGAACGATGTCCGCAACAAATATGCACCAATGAAATTGTTGTATGCGTTTCATGAATTTGGCGCAAGGCTTCCGCCAGAAACGTGCCGTAAATGCCTAACTGTATTGCCCTGGTGTGTTGTGGCACACTGTACGTTTTGCAGCATGAATGGCACCACAATGCATGGCACTAACGCACACATTTTCACCACAATGCGATGGCGTGAACAGGTCAAGACCCTGATTGCGCCTACCTATACCACTCACATATACTGAGGCATCTGATATGATTGCAGTGATTGACAGTTTGCAGCCCTCTGCATTGTCTCTCTTTACTTTCATTCCGTTCAAATCACATAAAGGATAGAGGACAATGTGACCAGATCGTGTCTCACACATCTGATTAGGAGGTGACAAGATCAGTGCTCCCCCTTGTCAGTGCCTGGAGTAGATGCCACCATCTCCGTGTGCATATGAGCCGTGTGGTCTCGGCTGCGGCACACAAGGCATTGAGGTCCCCGGTATAGGTAAATCGGGGGGGGGGAGGGGATCCTGGCGAAGGCCATGGACCTAATGCCGCCCCCTGTCCTCCCGGATGACCCATCCACACATCATTCAATCTCCCTGTGTGTACCTCTCCTGCTCCTCTGCGCTCTTCTCCGGCTCTACAGGCGCCATCATCACGTCGCAGTCCACCGTTGCCGCCATCTTACCGCCGGCTTCGAAGGGAAGGAAAGAGAAGCGACTTCCGGGTCCTCCAAGCCGAGGCTAGTGCCAGTGCGACCCAGCGATACCAGCGAGACGATGCGGGCACAGCGAACGACCCACGGCCGGAAGACTTGTGCCGACCATCTTGCAAAAGGGCAACCAGTATTTTTCGCAAAAGACGTTGCTGAGTGTTACCACAGTGACAGTGTAAAGCCTTAAAGTGGAACTCTACAATTCATTTACTTACCTTTTTTCAAGCCCGGCTCCGGCCACAATACAATTACTGCACTTCACTAAGTTGTACAGTGCCTTTACTATAAACTGACCTGCCATTATTAGATCTTCTTCCCCCCTAAAATCTTACTGTGACACTAAACTCAGGAGTTAAATCTTAAAAATGCATTCAAATACCCTATTATCGTTGAGGCTGAAAGGTTCTGATGAAGGGGGCGTGCCCTGGAAACGCGTCAATGATAATCGCACATAGGAACCGTTCAGCTGATCTCCACTTGCCTGCCATCGATCTATCACTCTATTGCTTTTATTTATTCATGTTTGTGAGTACCTTTTTATTGTTATGACCATTGGAATAAAATGTATCTGCACCAGGAAAGGCGCCCTCCTTTGTGCTTACTTTCCAGATTTCACAGCTCCCCCGGTTGTTTTGGGGCAGCATCCCGCAGCATGCCCATGATTATATCCCATTGAGGAGTGATTGCCCGTGGCGCTTTATTGCTTTGACCCTATTCACATATGGGCCGAACGGCAGCATTCGGCTCGGCTATTCTGCTCGGTAACTTCGTGGTACCGAGTAGAATAGTAAACCAATGAAAAAAGTTTTTTTTTTAAAGTTGAAAAAAAAGATTTAAAAAATGTAAATAAATATAACATTTAAAAATTAATAAAGATTTTTTAAAAAAGAAACAAAAAACAATTGGGCGGAGCTAGCAGTGACAGCTAGCACCGCCCAACTCTTTCCTATTGGCCAGTACCTGGTAGAGTGCCGGCCAATGAATAACAACTGGGTGGAGCCGGCCGTGACGTCACGGCCGGCTCTACCCATTTGTCATTGTTTAATGACAGTTCAGCATCCCCAAGTTATTTGGCGTTTATTACCGTTTTGCATTGGAGCCTACAAAGTACTGCAAATGCCATCAGTGCAATGTACAGGCTCCTGCAGACTATTCCCCCAGCTCAGAGTCTGTAAGGAGGTATGGGCCATCTGTAATGGGGCTGGAGAAAGTAAATAATAGATTACAAATGTGGCAACGTTACTGCTCTTGTGCTCCATTGCGATCAACCACCAAGGCAGAAGGGACTTGCAGTGTTCCATTCACAGATCCAAGTAAATGGATTTGTATATGGATAATGCAGCTGTGCAGGTGAAGCCACATAAAGCCAAGCTGACAAGATGCTTCGGGCAGAAGAACCGCACGATTCAGGTAAGAGGGAGCAGTTTGAAGGTGGGGCTGTAGACTTTGACCATGTTTCATTATACATCCTAAATATGGGTAAAACATGGTCAGTATGGTGGAATTACCCTTTAAAATGGAGTTTGAGCAGGGCACCCCTGCTTCTTCTTCCTCTGAGTTCCTGCCTGTGGGTGAGAACCTGTGGTAGACCTTCTGACATTACTGGAACCTGGAGGGTAAAAGAGATTTAATAAAGTACCTTTTAAAAGATTTGGTTGCTTTTCTTTGTTGACTTTTCTTTCTTATACGTATGATGAAGTGGTTAGGCCCCCCCCCATGGAGGAAAGCTAGTTGGTACATGATCCCCCCGCCTTGCTGGTGCCCCTTCTTAGCAATGGAGGTGCCAGAAAGTCAGATGCCCATCAACATCTGACACTGGTGCTTTGGAAGCGGGATGGCTGCTGTTCAGGGAACCTCTCTCGAAGCGAATCCAAATGTTGAAGGGCATGCGGGTTGGCATCAGCATAACTGGGGCTGTACACTCGCTGCTACTTTGCTTTGGGAATACCAGCTGGCATGCCTGGTGCGCTGGGCTGCTTAGCTCTGGGAGGGGGGGGAGAGGGTGACATTGGTTTTTCTTTTTTAATAAGTTCATATACTGTATATAAACACTACCAGTCAAACGTTTTAGAACACCCTCATTTTTCTAGTTTTTATTCAAATTTCAAAACAACTCATCAAGTAAAAACCCCTCAGAGATGCACACAATAGGAATGAAGCAATAAAACACTAATTAATACCCATAACACTTTATTGTCAAATCCCATAAAAAACACACCATTACCTATATAAGAATTGTAATTTATTGAAATTTACGCATTTTTATGTCTCAATGTACTCTGAAAATAAAGCAAAGAACAAATAAACAATTGGAGATCCAAAAGAAATCATGGAATCATTTTCTTTAACAAAATGTAATCTACATTTTTGACTCAGCAAAATAGCCACCTTTTGCAAATTTAACAGCCAACCACACTTGTGGCATTCTTTCTATAACGGAAATAAAATATTGTTCGGAAAGTTCTTCCCAACACTGTTGCAGAGGTTCCCACAAATTTGTTGCACTTGTAGGTTGCTTTGCTTTCACTGTTATGTTCAGTTCATGCCAAACCAGCTCAATGGGGTTTAAGTCTGGAGACTGTGCTGGTCATTCCATGATTTTAAGCCTACCATCTTGTTCTTTTCTTCTAAGGTAGTACTGGCGCAGCCTGCAGGTAGGTTTTTTGTCAATATCTTCCTGTAGGATGAACCCCTGACCAACTAGGCATACATCAGAGGGTATTGCATGGCGCTGCAAAATGCTGTGGTAGTAGTTTTGGTTCAGGATGCCACTCACTCTGTGCAAGTCACCGACTCTGGATCCAGTAAAAGAGCTCCAGACCATCACGCTTCCTCCTCCATGTTTGACAGTTGGTGTCACACACCAAGGGAACCATTCTTTCGCCTACTAGATGGTGTACAAAAACCTTGCGTGATAAACCAAAGATCTCAACTTTTGATTAATTGGTCCATGAGACCTTCTTCCAGTCTTCTTCTTTTTCTTATTTTACCATCTTAGCAATGGCTTTCTTACTGCCACTCGATCTGTCAAACCTGCAGCTCAAAGTCTTCTCTTTAAGTTGAAACTGAGAATTGCTTACTTGGATCAGTGTTAAGCTGCGCTCGAAGCTGTTGTCCTGGGAGCCGCCTGTCACGCAAGCTGTTGACTTTCAGAAACTTGTATTTGTGACAAACTTGTCTTTGGGAACGCTGCTAAGCTCCGCTCTCTTCCGTGGCGCTACGCCACTCCTCCTTCCTTCAGCCGGCTGGCGGCTTAAAGCAGCGTAATTTGAAATGCTCACTGTCGTGGTAATGTTGTGGACACTGAGCATTTTCCCTACATTTACTGCTGCTCTCCATTCTGAACAAAGCAGTTCCTCTGAAGCCTGTACCCTGGCCTGCAGCCATCCATCCACAGTTCATCCTCCTGGTTTAAGCAGCCACCGCATGGTTTAACACTCGACATCCTGGATTTGGTGTCTCTGTGGATATTTATCATGTCAGCCTCAATTGTTAATACTGGAACTTAATGCCTTACATCCTGGATTTGCTGGTACATCCACCTTTCGGAAACTGCTAGCCACTGCAGGATTACCTGCCATCATCTGAATCCAGAGCCTTCATCTCAGCTAACCGCAAGTATACCTAGTGTTTCAAATCCGTGTACATTCTCATGCAAGTTCATATAACCGTTTAATTAAGCTGTCACCATCTACTTATATTTGTGAGAGGTTTGCTGCTGTGGGTTGAGTTAAAGATAGTTGGTACATATACTCCTACATTATCTCCAAGACATTGCATTATATCCCTGTTTGAAGGAATACCGGTATCCATGTGAACCCAATTGGACTTCCTTACCTTTATGCCTTAAGTCTCTGGCCGGCGGCAGCTCTCCCGCTCCTCTGGTCCCATTAAGCAGCCGCTCACACTTTCTAATCTCCGGGCCGTGCCCGCCTCGCCCCCAAGGCGCTCCCGGCTGGCCGTTTAATTAGAAAAGCCGGCCGGGAAGCTACACGTCCGGCCCCACCGTCCTCTCGTCACAGACAAGAGGGCGAGTGCATTTTTCAAGCCCTGTATATATATATAGATATATATATATATAAATTATTATTTAAATGAATTATTTACCCCCCCGCCCTTACCTCTTCTGGCCGGTCTTCTGTCTTCATGTGTTTTCTGTTTGCGGGTCCTCACTGCCGTCCGAGGCCCCATGATGTGATAAAGGCCTGGAGGCCCTGGTGCGTCCGCACCGCCTGCACCGGCGGTAGTTCCGCCACTGACTGTGTATGTACAGTATATATATATATATGTACACACATACACAAAGTATATTGTGGCAGTGTGTGGCAATGCCACAAAGTATGCTGGCAACACCGTCACCTAGTACTCTCAGCCAGAGGGGCTGAGAGGTTCCATAGTGTAAATAGTTTTACATAGTAAGTCAGGTTGAAAAAAAAACATGTCCATCGAGTTCAACCTATAGAGATATGAAAATAAAAAGAAAAGCCTAAACAGAACGCTATGCCCTCAATTACCCACTGTTGATACAAAAAAACCCTATAAAGCATGGTTCAATTTGCTCCAACAGGGGAAAAAAATTCCTTCCTGATCCAATAAGGCAATCGGATATTCCCTGGATCAACAATGTCTGATGTTATTAAGTTATTAAGATTTTCGGCTGGGATCGATTAAGGAAGCTGACGTTTTGATGTGTAAGTAGTTCGACTTTAGTCAGCAGATACAGTATATAATGTGACATTTTGAATATAGGTGCAGTTAAGTTTATTTTTGTGAGGAGTACATGGTAGTTTATATAGATAGAGGATTTTATTACAATCAATGGATCACTAGTACTATTGCATACTTTGTATTAGGACTATGACTGGATACTTTAGATCAGGAGTGCCCACAATTTTTGTGTTTAAGATCTACTTTTCAAATGACGAGCTACATGAGATCGACCAACGGAAAAAAAAACTCCCTCGTTCTCTCTCTCCCGGCTGTCTCTCCTCGCTCTCCTGGCTGTCTCTCCTTGCTCTCTCGCCCCTGCTGTCTCTCCTGGCTTTTTCTCCTTGCTCATCCT